TTCCCGTACAATAATGATCAGAGGCCCAATGTGAGATGGAGAAACCAAGATATGGACAAACCTGCATCTCTAAGTTACCTCACGAATATCAACTGCCCCACAGGGTCAACAACCCCAGTGGGGCAACTGACAGAAAACTGCCATTTACATATTAAACCTCTGGGATTAAAAAAAAAGTTTTGTCTTTTCAGATACCACAGGACATGCTATTCGTCACAGGACATTTGAAAGCAACACACAGACAGCTTGTTTAGCAATACCCCCTTTCTTGGCAAACTGCTAGAGATCTAGACCTAAAGGGCAGGGCAAAGGCAAAAAATGTCTTCCAACATCATCTGGTCCCCAATGTGGCTCAGCAATTGCTGTGCTGTGCTCCCCCTGCCAGTCTCTTCAGACAGTCACATGTTCCCCAAACCCCAGCCTGTCCTATCTTAGTCTGTTTGCTGCATCTGGTGAGGGCCTTCTTGCTGTATCATGACAGATGGCATCACATGAGAGAGAGGAAGAGTGCCAACTCAGATGTCTCTTTCTTTTCTTGTGAAGCCACCAATCCCATCATGGGGACCCTAACCTCATGATCTCATTATCTACATTACCTCCCAAAGGTCCCCACCTTCGAATACCACCAACACAGGAATTGGGGTATTATATTTCCAACATGAATTTTGGGGGACACATTTAAATCACTGCAGAGTAGTGTAATGGAGCAAAACCATTAGGTACCCATTTGCATTCCCTCAAAGTTTCAAACATCATCTCCAGTTTTGAGGACAATATGTCGCTGTGATTTTTCTGTACTGCATTGTCCTTTGTCCACTCGACACTCCCATCATTGCAATCAAAGGTTGAGAACTATGTTTTTCCAGAAGACCCTTTCCTGTAGGGTTCTCATTAAAGTCTGCCAACAAGAAAAACATGAATGGAGTTTGGAAGGCCAGAGGCATACTGTGCAGACCATCTCACAAACTCTAACTCCACAGTCAAGCAGCCTGAAGCAGCAACTTCTTAGACACCTCCATGAACCCTGGCTTCTCATCTACCTCAAGGCTTCACAATGAAGTTGCCAGTGACTTTTCCTCTGATATTCCAGCTGGGGTCTTTCACATAGCTCACTGCTCAAGCACCTCTTAACTCATGTAACTATTCTTATTCCTGAAATAATTGCTGCATATGTTTTCCTGAACAAACACAGATGAATACAGTTATTCAGAATAATGTTAATTCCATGTTTTTAAAGTTTAATCACAACCAGCATTACTGCATTGGTCCTGTCCATTGGCCCTCCCACCATTTGATCTTTTTTAGTTGGAGTCTCACTCTGTCGCCCAGACTGGAGTGTAGTGGCCGCTCCCGGCCACCGCAGCCTCGACCTGCTGGGCTCCGGCGATCCTTCTGCCTCAGCCTTCCAAGGAGCTGGAACTACAGGCGTGCGTTACCACACCCGGCTAATTTTTTTGATTTACTGTAGAGATGAGGTCTCACCAAGTTGCCCAGGCGGGTCTCGAACCCGCGGGTTCAGGCAATCCACTCACCTCAGCCTCCCAAGGTGTGGGATTACAGGCTGAGCCACCTGTAATTACAGGCTGAGCCCTAATCTAATTAATGAACTCTGATGTTTAAAACATGTAACAGCTGGGACAAATGGGTATCCACATGCAAGTGAGTGAAGTTGGACCACAACTCCATAGCTTATATAAAAATGGATTCAAAATGGATCAAATGCCTAAAATTAACACATAAACTAGAACACTCTTAGAAGAAAACAGATGCAAACTTTCACGACATTGGGCTAGGCAGTACTTTCTTAGATAGGACACCAAAACACAAGCAGCCAAAAAAATATACATAATTTGACTTCACTAAAATTAAAAACACTATCGAGAAAGAGGAAAAGACCCAGAAGTGGAGGAAATATTTAGAAATTATCTCAGAAGGGTCTAGATTTCAGAATATAAAGTAACTCTTAGAACTCAAGAAAAGACACAACCCAACTTAAAAATTAAAAAAAAAATTGGTCAGACATTTCTCCAAAGAACTTACAAATGGCCAATAACCATATGAAGAAAGGCTCAGCATTCATTCATGAAAACAAGCAAATCTGACCACAATGAAATACCACGTCTAAGTGACTGGAAGGCTATAATGCTACTACTAATCCAACAACTACAAATATCAAATGTTGATGAGGAATTGCACAAACTGGAACATCTGTACATTGCTGGTGGGACTATGAAATGGTGCAGATGCTCTGGAGGTTTTGCAGATTCACAGAGTTAATTACAAAGTTACTATCTGACCCAGAAATTCGACTTTTACAAACATACCTAAGACATGAAAACAGACATCTGCAAAAACATCTTGTAAAAGGTCGATTATAGCAGCATTTTTAATAATAGCCTAATTTAAAAAGTGAAAAGAGCCCAATCTCCACCAAACGATGAGTGGATAAACAAACCATGAATTGCTGAGCAACAAAAAACGATGAGGCACTAATAAAAGTTACAACAATGCGAAGTCCAACAATTAGGTTTGCAAACCATTTTAGAAAAAGTACTACGTATCACTTGCAGTCACCTTTGAGTCCTCCACTTGGGAAGCTTTGCACCGACGACAGCACCTAGTCCATCCATCAAAGCAATTTTGGAACTTTTGTTCTGGAATGGCCTTTAGAGCTGTTGACTTTATTTGTTGGGGTTTGACAAGTTCACAAACTTGCCACCGTGTGCTTACATCGGCAGCACTGTACAAATAACTATTGGAACACCCTCCCTATCACAGCTGATCTGGCCCCAGTGACTTTTTTCTTTACCTGCAGATAAAGAAAATACTAAAAGGAAGATACTTGATGACATTCAGGACATTAACATGACAGCTTTTTTGGTTATTCCAGAAAGAGTTCCAAAATTGCTTGATGGGTGGTCTAGGCGCTGGCATCAGTGCATAGCTTCCCAAGGGGAGTACTCCAAAGGTGACCGTAGTGATATACAGCAATGATGTATGTGGCACTTTTTCTTGGATGGGTTTGTGAACTTAATTGTTGGACCTCGTATATTCCATTGTATGGTACACTTGAAGGAAGGAAATTCTATTATATGTCAATTGTAATTCTTTTTGCACCAGCTGGAAATCCAAACCACATGTGGGTACCCTCACTCCAACCCCACAAGGTAACCATTATATCACCCTCAGTCAGTCATCTTTGACCACCTTCTCTAACCATTTTTTGAACCTGGAAAGTCTGTCCTGTTCTCCCCAGGAAGCCTCATGTAATACAAATTCTCCTTCAGTGTATGGCATCACCAGTCTCGAAATCTATGTTATTGTATGGGGTTTCATTCTGTTCCAGGGTAGTGACCGCAAGTGCAAATGAAAACAAAATGTTTTAGGAGTAAATATATGAAATTTCTAGTTTCTAAAAAAAAAAAAAAAAAGCCCATGGTATATGTTATTAAGGGAAAACTCATGAACAACGATCTTTTCAAATTAAGTGCTCTAAGTACAAAAAAGGGATTGTTATCTCTATTCCTGAATTTTTTTTCTATTTTTCATATGCCCATATCTGTATTTTCACCTCATGTAAAAGAATGGGCAAGCCACTCTTGCAAACAAACAAAGGCATGTAGAAATACAACCATACAGAGCATATTTATGAAAGTGGAAGCAGATTTTCCTGGGTCTGATACTGCACTGCCATGGTATGGTTATTTTCTTTTTTTTCTTTTAAAGCTGTGGGAGACAATTAAGAATTAGGTATACAAGTGGTCATCATACAGGTAAAGTTTGAGCCTTCCCTTGGTCCCCACTTCACCTGGTTTGAGATCAGGTACACAAGTTATTTTCAATATATCCATAGAAATAATCTGGAGCAGAGGGTGGAGAGAATTACTCAGTGCAAATTATGAATATAAGTTCTGCAAATTGTACACGGTTTGAATCTAACATGGAAAGAAGCTGTTACAGATGATCTTGAGAGTCCAATGATGTATCATTAATGTTCAACATAAGTGTCCCAATAAAGTGGGCTTTGTTTGGGTCAACAGAAGGCACATGATTCAGTTGGGGGTTACTAAACAATGACTACATTTTACTAATTAAGGTATGAGAACTATGATATGTTCTAAATAAAATGGTATCCAAATGCAATTTCAGTGACCAAATGTGAATTTTTTACAAGCATACTCTACTCCGGTTCCTTTGATTAACCTGTCCTCTATGATAACTATTCTCTTCAATTTCCAAAAATAAGACTAATTTTCAACAATCTTTGATATGCAGACCTTTCAAAGGAGAGAGTGACTCTCATTCCCCCTTCATTTCTTTCTACCACGTATGCAGTCCCTGGTAACCTACTGTTTTAGTTCTGAGAAAATCTCACTCTCTCAATGTCTTGGCTTAGTCTTTCTATTTCATGGTCACCTTGTAGAGCAATCTTACCTTTCCTATAATCAACAAAGGTCCTTAGTCATATCAAAGAATCTAGGACCACATAAAGCATGTTAGACAATAGTTTTATCTCTATTTTGTCACACCCATGCTCTCAAATTTACACTCAACTATATCTTAAAATTAGTGTCCTTGCTTTTTCCAGATTATAATAACATAAATAAACCCCAAAGTAGGCCTTTCCATTTTACCAATCCCTTCCTTGAGACAATCATGATACATAAAAAACATGTTATAAAGATATAACATCAACAGATTTCAGACTTCAAGCTGTAATTCATCAATGATGAAGCATTTTAAAGAAATCTCAAATAATTGAGTAAAAATGTTTTATAAACTGAGGATAGTTAGATCTTTCCACAGATGTTCTTGTTCCTTTGATACACAGCCTCTTGTGAGTCTTAAATTTTAACTTTTTAAAATTTATCTTTTTGTCTGTGAAACTTGACATCTGAGGTCAGTTAATGTTCAAGAAGGAAAATGGACATAGTTCCCTTAGTATGAATGTTCGTATGTGTAGTACATTGAAAGAATTGGTTTGTCTATTACCTTCATTACATTTGTAATGTTTCTCTCCAATATGAATTCTTTAGTGTATCCTGAAGTCAGTTCATTGTTTAAGCCTTGCCACATTTGTATGGATTTCATCCTAAATACAATCTATCATAACCACAAAGGTATACAATTTGTATAAAGCTGATCACATTCATTATATTTGTAAGGTTTCTCTACAATAAGAATTCTGTGATATTTCACAAGATTTGAACTTTGGATAAGGCTTGCCATGCACATTATATTTGAGTGGTTTCTCTCAAAAATGTACATTTTGATATCAAATGAGGTGTGAGCCTGGTTAAAGGTTTTGCCACATATATTATTTTTATATGATTTCTCTTCACAATGAAGATTCTGATATCAAGTAAGGCTTCAACCCCTGTTTAAGTTTTGTTTCAATTATTATTATATTTGCTATGTTTTTCTCTACTACGAATTCTCTGATGATCTCCAGGTCTTGAACTTTGGATAAAAGCATTACCATGTATATTTACAATGTTTCTTTTCAGTATGTATTTTCTGATGTCTAGTAAGGTTTGCAAACTGGGTAAAAGCTTTGTCACATTCATTACATTTATAAGGTTTCTCTCCAGTATGGATTTTCTTATGTTGAGTAAGATTTGAACGTTCAGTAAAGGCTTTGCCACACTCATTACACTTGTAAGGTTTCTCCCCAGTATGAGTTCTTTGGTGACCCCAAAGGTGTGAACGTTTGACAAAAGCCTTCTCACATTTATTACATTTGTAAGGTTTTTCTCCTGTATGAATTCTCTGATGTTCCACAAGGCTTGAACTTTGGATAAAAGCCTTGCCACACACATTACATTTGTGTGGCTTCTCGCCAGGGTGTATATTCTGATGTCTAGTGAGATGTGAGCACTGCTTAAAGGCTTTGCCACACTCCTGACATATGTAAGGTTTCTCTCCAGTATGGATTCTCTTGTGTTGTGTAAGGCTTGAACGCTCAGCAAAGGCCTTGTCACATTCATTACATTTGTAAGGTTTCTCTCCAGTATGAATTCTCTCATGACCCCAAAGGTGTGAACGCTGGATAAACGCCTTACCACATTCATTACATTTGTAAGGCTTCTCTCCAGTGTGCATTCTCTGATGACTTGCAAGGTTTGAATTCTGGCTGCAGACCTTGCCACAGATATTACATTTATATGGTTTCTCTCCTGTATGGACTTTCTGATGTCTAGTGAGGTTTGAACACTGGTTAAAGGCTTTGCCACACTGGTTACATTTGTAAGGTCTCTGTCCAGAATGAATTCTCTGATGATTAGTGAGGTTTGAACTTTTGCTAAAAGCCTTTCCACAGTCACCACATTTGTATGGTTTTTCTCTAATATGTGTTCTCCCATACTGTGAAGGTAACAAAGAGTATTTTAAAATCTTCCTATATTTATTGCAAATGTTTTTGACACTAGGAGAAAGTGGTAAAACTGAGGAACCACAGCTGCTTGACTTCTCAGCTTGATTACATTCATAGATTTTCTCCTCAGTATGAAATCTCTGCCGTTCAGCCAGATGTGTCTGTAAACTTAATCCAATCCTATTTTCAGAACACTTCATATACTTGTTTCCAGCATAGCTTATGTTATTTTTCAGTTTTAACAAATTCCTTATAAATGGTTTGCCATGTATGAAATACTGGTATGCAGTTTCTCTTATGGAAACACTATGCTTTAAAGAAAAGTTAATTGAGGATTTATTATGTTGTTTTCTACAAGTAAGATTTTTGTTGCAGGTCAAAAATCCTTTGTAATTTCTCGCATCGTATCTCCACTGGCTGTCAAACTTAGGCACATTTTCCCAGACTTCTTTGAGGTCAAAACCCTTGATACCATGGCTTCCTTTTTTGTCCAATATCACAAGATGGCATAATTCTGCTTTATTAATATCTTCATTTGGTAATAGCTCCTTGTTTGCAAATCCAGCAAAAATATCTGAAAGAGTTAGAAAATAAATATTTTATATTGAAGTACAAAATATTACAATAAAATAATATACTTATAATGAATAGATAATAATACTTATAATGAATAGATAATATACTTATAATGAATAGATAATAATACTTATAATGAATAATAGAGTTAGGAAGCTTCTCAACCATGGTGTTTAAATGTTTAGGAACACAAATAGAATAGCTGGCTTCAGTAAAAGAAGCAATACAGTAGCAAAACATGTAATACAGATTATTTTAAGGGAAGCACAGTGTCACATGCCCTGCAGCAAAACATTCATGTAAACTCATGTAAGCCCTGAAAGAAAGGATATTTTTCCACTGCCACTCCCCAAAACGCAACAATTGGCATAGCTATACAGCTGTCTTATATTTCATGAGAAACAAATAATCCCTATGTAGTGCATAATTATTATATACAAACAAAAGCTAAAGCATGGCTCAAATTTATCTAATGAAAAATATTAAAATGGCTATTCATAATAGCAAAAAAATAGTGCAGGAAGAAAATCAGAAAAATTTTAATAAAATGCTATTATAAGTATTTACCATATAGTAAACTGAGTACTTGTTATAATACTACCTAAACCCATGTGGAAAATGCATTTTACAATATTAACAATTTGTACATGGCAATTATAATGTATAATATATATTGAAAAGCCATCATCTATAGATCATAATAAGAATGATTAAAACATTTAAATATCTGTGGAAATCTAGCAGCAAGGTAATAAACAACGACAATTTTACAAATTTATTGTCTATGGAATTCTAAAAAATTCTTGCTTAAGAACTAAAAACAGAACTTAAAATGCAGAAGAAGCACACAACAGTAAAAATTCCCAACATTAAACAATGTTGAGAATCACTGAATTTTAAAATATCAGGTTCACATAAATATACAATATTATAAAGATTAATGGCCAACTGCAGTGGCTCACACCTGTAATCTCAGCACTTTGGGAGGTGGAGGAGAGAGGATTGCCTGAGCCCAGGGATTCAAGATCAGTCTGGGCAACTTCGCAAGACCTTATTTCTAAAATAAATAAATAAAAAAATAATTAGACAAGCATGGCAGCACGTGCCTATACTTTCAGCTACTTGGAGGGCTGAGGCGGAAGGATAACCTGAGCCCAGCGGGTTGAGGCTGTGGTGGCCGTGAGTGTGCACTCCAGCCTGGGCAACAAAGTGAGACTCTGACTTGAAAAAAAGAAAATAAAAAAGATTAAGAATTAGAGAAGGCAGTCTGAAATCATAATTTCATGCTTGCAGTTATACAACAGCCAGTACCTACAGCAACTCCCTAGCTATGAAGTATCATCTAATTCTTTAGTCCTATGGTCAAAAATATATATAACAAAAGCTATACATTTTGAAAACTTATTATCTAGAGTCAGAGAAAATGTTGACATAGGAAAGAAGTACACAAAGAAAACATATAAGATAAAATACAGGCAAAGGTCAATCTTGTAAGAAACATGAAAGAAAGCTGACATATCTTATTAATAAAGGTAGTTTTTCAGTCCACTCTAGATGCTGTGCCAGTGTACTAAGCCCTCTAATATCATTAACTTATTGAAATATTCTTGAGGTAAATGATCACAAATTTTCATATAGAAACAAGGGGCCCAAGAGGTTACCTATCCCTAACTCACAGAGAAAGCAAATTCAAGAGCAGAATTTGAACCTTGGTGTGCAGGCTAAGATGCCATGGTCATAATAAGCAGCACTACTGCCCACCCAGGCAGTGCAGATTACAGCAAATGCCAGAAGCTTAAGAAGAAATATTGTAAGGGAGATACAGGACCTGAGCTGGGTTCCTCATACTGTGACAGTGCTACCACTCCCAGATAACAGCATTTGAGTCATTGTGTCCTGCCCATGTTGCTGCAGACATGGGTAGGAGTAGCATCTTTCTTGCCACAGTGTGTGCAGCACAGGGAGGGACAGGCCTTGTGAAAACTGGGTTGCTGGGGTGTTCAAAATTAATATACTAGGAGCTACCTGTATAGACCATCTGGATCAATGAAAAATTGGAGGAAAGGCTTGGGCTGGCATTTAGAAGGGAAAGAATGAAAGCAATACAGGATTAGAGCTTGTGCTTGCAAATCTATGGGGATACGACTGTACTAAGGCAATTAAAACCTGACCATGGAAAAAGAGAGGAGTTGATTTAGCAAGTGCCTTAAAACTGACCCAGTCTGTGGGAACTATATTATGGGCATGGAGAAAAAGTATAAGAAATTTAAAAGGGAGGGAGTGTGATGGTGTGGGATGAATGCAGGTTTAGATCTATTCCAGTGTTTGCTCTCAGATTTATCAAATTAAATATCTCACAAATTCCATTTCTAGGTATATATCTATATATCATTATATACCCACATATATATTATTGATGGTATATAAGGGTATATGCCTAGAAACAGAATGATTATAACATGCAATTATAATGTATTAATAAATAATATATCAGTACACTAATGATTATTATATTAATATATAATATCAAATACACTTATATTATATATAATGCAGAGGGTGCCAAAAAATGTATATACATTTTAAGAAAGGAAAAAACTGTAATACTCCAGACATACCAATAACAAAAGATGAATACAAATCACGTTTGACTTCTGCAATTGCACATTACTACCGTAATTAAATTCAGTTTTGAAGAGTAATACATAGATAACATCTCTTAAAATGTGTATACAATTGTTGGCACCCCCAGTATACATGAGGAGGAACCCCCTACAAAAACTGGAATTAATTAACTTCTGGAGGGGAGGCCTCATGTAGTACTGGCTTCCTCTACTAGGTAAGTGTTCTAGGAACGAATTGGCATCTGTGTACCAGCTTTTGTTGTGAGAGGCTGAGTTCAGCTTCAGGGAATTTTTTTGGGAGATCCTTTCAATGTGTTTGCTCATTTCATGATGGGTAATTTAAAAGTGCACCTGCCTGCATTGCACTGAACATTCAGCAGTTTTTTTTTAACCAAAAAAGGCATGAGTGCCATGCTCCCACCCTCTCTATTCACTTGATCTCACCCCAAGTGATTTTTTTTCCTCGATGAAAAAAGTCATCAAAGGAAAACATTTGCCAAAGTGGAAGAGGTGAAACAAAAAATGGCAGAAGAATTGAAAAGCATCAAAATTGATGAGTTGAAAAATGGTTTTGAGCAGTGGAAAAAGCATCTCAATAGGTGTGTTGCATCAAATGGAGAGTACTTTAAAGGTGACTGAAGTTTAAACACGCAAGAATAAATACACACTTTTTCATAAATAAATTCCAGTTTTTTGGGGGTCCCCCTTGTAAAAAGAAATGAGCTATCAAGCTATAAGACACAGAAGAAACTTAAACACATACAACTAAGTAAAAGAAGTCAATCTGAAAAGCCTACATACTGTGAGTCCAGTGATAGGACATTCTGGAAAAGGCAAACTATGGAGACAGTCAGAAGATGAGTGGTTGCCAGGTGTTGGGGGAAGGGAGAGATGAATAGGTTGAGGTCAGAGGATTTTTTAGGGCAGTGCAATTATTCTGTATGATACAATTATGGAGGATATATGACTATGTCCAAACCCATAAGATATATATAGAATGAACCTTAATGTAAATTATGGATTTTGGGTGATGTGTTGCGTCAATTCAGGTTTATCAGTTGTAACAAATGCAAAACCATGGTGAGGTACGTTGATTAAGGGGGAGGCTGTGCATGTGTGCATGAGGCAGAGGATATATGGAAAATCTCTGTACCTTCTACTTGATTTTACTGCGAATGTAAAATTGCTTAAAAAAAAGAAAGTTTATTTTAAAAAGTACATGCTAATAGTTGGTATTATGCTATGGGAAACAGAAGTAAAAGGAACACCCAATATTATCTTTTAACAAAATTCTGGAGGTTATACATGTCTTGGGGAAACTAATGTTCAGACATAATCACTTAAGAATGAAATCTTCTGCTAAAATATATAAAACAATATTCACTCCTTCATTCCACACCCCACACATTTTAGATATAAAACAAAAACACCAAGAGAATCAAAAAAATATTAACTAATGATTAAATATACAACTTCATTTATGGCAGTAGCAATGACATTTGTAAGATGAAAGAAACTATCAGTGGCTTAAACCAAACAAAATTACAGTAGATTTAAAAAATGTAGGCATTATTCAACTTTATAAGCTTCCTCAACAGGAGAATCAAAATTGCATTTGTTGAAGTCAAATGTACAGCAGCACATACATGGATGAACAGTGTGGCATGAACTACAGTTTAGGCAACATTCTTGCAGATACTAGGTTGGGAACTTGGACAATGTTCTCCCTAGGATAAATTCCTATACCTTTTTTGCTGGCTCCAGGGGATGGTCATTATGTATCTGATCAACACGGTCATGCTGCTCTTGGGAGAGGCACTGTCAACTCCACAAAATTCCGAAAGATTGAAGGCAACTTATCACTCAGACTTTTCTTGGTACTTTGCCAGTATCCTGGGATATGCTGGCTATTCTACTCAGTAGCTTCAAGAGGCACTTTGGTGTATAGCAGGATGATACTGTAACAGATTTTAATCAGTGATTTCTTTCAAGAATTGTCTGTCACTAAGTAAGTCTGCCAGATGTTGTTCACCACCTGAAGGTGGGTTATCACAGCAGAAAAAGAGGACTAAATTTCAGACCCTATGAGTGTATATTTCAAAAGCAAAGTTTCTGAGACAAAATCTTGGAAGAATATGAAATCAGGAAAACCAAGCACTTTATATGTTCCTCAACAGGGCAGAAAGCCAGAGGAAGGGGGAAAAAAAAAGATAGGGAGTAAAATAACAGGGTAAAAAAGTAGTCCATGCTCATGGATTGGAAGAATCAACATTGTTAAGATGTCCATTCTACCCATGGCAACCTACAGATTCAACGCAATACCCATCAAATCACCAACATCATTCCTCTCAGACCTGGAAACGAAAATACAGAAATTCATATGGAAACATACATGATCATGAATAGCCAAAACAATCCTCAGCAAAAGAAACAAAGTGGACTTTAAACTTTTTATAAGGCTACAATAATCAAAACTGTCTGGTACTGGTACAAGAACAAACATGTAGAACAATGAAATAGGATAGAGATTCCAGAAGCAAAACCTCAGTTTCTCAACCAACTCATCTCCACAAAGCTTCCAACAACAACCACTGGGGAGAGGAGAACCTATTCAGTAAAAGGTGCTGGGAAAACTGGCTGACCACACGCAGAAGATTGAAACAGGAACCCTACCTATCACCATACACAAAAATCAACTCTAAATGGATCAAAGTCCTAAACGTAAAACCTTAAACTATAAGAATCTTAGAACATGTAGGAGATACCCTTACAGAAATTGGAATAGGCAACCAATTCCTGATCAAAACCCCAGAAGCCCATGCCATAAGAGGTAAGATAGACGAGTGGGATCTCATTAAACTGAAAAGCTTCTGCAAAACAAAAGAAACCATCAAAAGAGTGGGGAGTCAGCTCATAGGATGGGAAAAAATATTTGCTAACTGTAAATCCAACAAAGGACTAACTTCCAGAATCTACAAGAAACTCAAACATGCCAAGAGGAAAAAAACCAAACAGCCCTATTAAAAAGTAGGCAAAAGATATGAATAGATACTTCTCAAAAGAAGACATAGGAGTAGTCAATAGATACATGAAAAAGTGTTCAGCCTCACTAATCATCAAAAAATGCAAATCAAAACCACACTGAGATACTCCCTAACGTCAGTCAGGATGGCCATTATTAACAACTCAAAAAACAAAAGATGCTGGAAAGGATGTGGGAAAAGAAAACTCTTCTACATTAATGTTGGGAGTGAAAATTAGTACAACCTCTGTGGAAAACAGTGCAGCGATTTCTAAAAGATCTAAACATCAACCTTTCATATGACCCAGCAATCTTCCTTCTGGGGATATATTAATACCCAGAAGAACTCAAATTATTCTACAAAAAAGATACCTGCACATGCATGTTTATTGCAGCACTATTCACAATAGCAAAAATATGGAACCAACCGTGCTGCCCATTGAAACTGGACTGGATAAAAAAAAAGTGGTACATATACATGGTGGAATATTATGCAGGCATAAAAAAGACAAAATGATGGACTTTGCAGCAACTTGGATGGATTCAGAGTCTATCACACTCAGTGATCTAACACAGAAACAAAGAACTGAGTACCACATGTTCTCATTCATAAGCAGACCCTGAACATTTATCATAATACTATAAGAAAAGGATTGGTAGTAGCAGGATACTGCCAGGAGAGGGAAGGGGGTGGGCACAAAACATCAATAAGGGTACCTGATCTCAAACCAGGCAAAGTGGGGACCAAAGGGAGGCCCAGACTTCACCCGTGTGATGAACACTTATGTACCTAATCCTGAATTGTACCCCATATTTTTTAAATAAAATTTTTAAAAAAGGGTGAATTTTCGCAGGGTTCTTGAAAAGGGCTCTGCCCACAAGACTACAGGGTGAGAGTCTAAAAGACTGAGACATATTCCCATTTTGGAATGGGAATCAAAAAGAGTATCTCTCTAAAGAGTCTTTATATTATAGCTAAGTAACAATCTCAAAGACCCACCCTCTTTGAAGCCCTTTACATACATGTGACAAAGTAGAACTGAATAAATGCCCAAGGTGCCTGAACAGGTAGAGAAGGCTTGACAAAGTCCATGACATTTCACGGAGCACTAGAGACATTTTTGGGGGGCCACCATTCCTCGTTTTCCTGAAAGGTTCTTACATATATATGAAATGTGAATAGACACTGAATGAGTTTTGGGCCCGAACTACAAAGATGTCAGCTCTGATCTGTATGGACTGAGAACCAAGCCTCAGATGAAATCAAATATACAAAGAGAAAGTCAATAAATGCAAAACATCTTGGTCCCTCTCAAAGCCAAGGGACCAAAATGGTTGGAGGGGCCAAACAGTGTTGCAGGTGATAATAAAGCATCTGCCTTTGTGTCTATATGAATTGGAACATCATGGGAGAGTGGGAGTTTAAACCTTTATGCATTTGAATAACAAAATGTGTGTGTGTGCATGCAGGGGTGTTTCCTTTGAGAGTTCATAAGAAAGAGATTTTTGTTCTCCCGCAGATCTTCCCATTTGAGGAGTCTTCCAAACACCCATCTGAGCTCTTGTGTTCCTGCTCCCACCTATCTGGGGATTTCCCTTATTTTCATTTCACCCTCTACTGTCTAGGACTCTTTCCCTTGCTCCAAAAAATGAAGAAAATATTTGGCTCAGGAGATATTTCAACTTATAGAGAAAAAAGGAACATGATACCCTGTGTCTTTCCAGAATACATTTCTAGTTCTTTCTTCAGCTAAGAAGAGAGGTCATTACAGATGGATCCAGAAAATGATTTTACAAGTTACTCAACTGACTGCCTCCTTCTGAATGTTTAGGGGTTATTTAAAACATGCAGACATCTAGCTCTCTTCTAAGAGCTACTGAACCAAAAGCACAGGCGTAAAACCACGAAGCCAGATATTTTTAAAAGTCTGTCATAAGGTTTTATGATTACTGGTGTTTTAGTGGTGGTGTTTACCACCACTAATCAAACTTGAAACATGCAGAACTTCTGAAAAAAGGGGAAGTGTCAAGTTCATATGCCACATCATGAGGCCCTTCCATTCAAAGCAGGCTCAATCTTTCCCTTTAGAAAAGGGTTAGAAATTCAGACAGGAAAGAGGTATATTCCCTTGAATCTCCCAAGAGACTCACAAGGGAAATGGCAAGATACACAAGGGCAGTTACCGATTTCTGGTGGGAAGTTATCCTCCCCCAGGGAGAGCAGGTTCCTGTAGTTCTCCAACATCACGTCCCTGTACAAGGCCCTCTGAGTGAGGTCCAGGCAGTCCCACTCCTCCTGAGAGAATTCAATGGCCACATCCTTGAATGTAAACAGTCCCTGAAATGAAAGCACATTTTACCAAGTGAACATGGGAACAGGTCTTATGACAGGACAGGAGAGAGGTATAAGAATGGACTTGGGGCCAGGCGCGGTGGCTCACGCCTGTAATCCCAGCACTTTGGGAGGCTGAGGTGAGGAAATTACCTGAGCCCATGGGTTTGAGAACAGCCTGGGCAACTTGGTGAGACATCTCTATAATAAATAACAAAAATTAGCCAGGCGCGGTAGCACGTGTCTGTAGTTCTAGGGGTGGGGCTACTTTTATGTTATGTGAATTTCACCTCAGTTAAAAAAAAATTAGGGATATTGAACTTACTTATATCACATGGATGAGTCAGAATACCTACTCTGGCCAAACCAGTTCTTTTTTTTTTTTTTGAGTTGGTGTCTCACTCTGTCGCCCAGGCTGGAGTGTAGTGGCACGCTCATGGCCACCCCAGGGTAGAACTGCTGGGCTCTAGCAATTCTTCAGCCTCAGCCTTCCAAGTAGCTGGAACCATAGGTACATGCTACCACACCCAGCTAATTTTGATTTATTGTAGAGATGAGGTCTCACCAAGTTGCCCAGGCTGTTCCCGAACCTGCGGACTCAGGCAGTCTGCTCACCCTGGCCTCCCAAAGTGCTGGGATTACAGGCTTGAGTCACCCCGCCTGGCCTCAAATACATTTTAATAAATTCCAATGGAAACTCTGTGCCCATGAAGCAGTCACTCTCTGTTCCTCCTTCTTAACAGTTCCTGGCAACTATTAAACCGCTTTCTGTTTCCGTGGATTTATCTCTTCTGGACGTTTCATATAAATGGAGTCATAAAATATGCGACCTTTTGTGTCTGGCTTCTTTCAGTTAGAATAATGTTTGTTTTTTTTTTTTTTTGAGTTGGAGTCTCACTCTGTCGCCCAGACTGGAGTGCAGTGGCCGCTCCCGGCCATTGCAGCCTCGACCTGCTGGGCTCCGGCGATCCTTCTGCCTCAGCCTTCCAAGTAGCTGGAATTACAGGCATGCACTACCATGCCCGGCTGATTTTTTGAGTTATTGTAGAGATGAGGTCTTGCTGCCCAGGCGGGTCTCGAACCCGCGGGCTCAGGCAATCCACTCACCTCAGCCTCCCAAAGGCGCGGGATTACAGGCTGAGCCATCGAGCCGGCTCAGAATAATGTTTTGATGATGTAGCATGTATCAGCACTTAGTGTGCGTGCATTGTTCTATAGGAATACCCAAGGCTGGGTATCTAAAGATTCATGAGGGATTGCCCCCATAACCCAAACACCTCCTACTAGGCCCCGTCTCCAACACTGGGGATCAAATTTTAACATGAGATTTGAGAAGACAAATACTCAAACTATATCAGTACTATATTCCTTTTTGTGGCCGAATAATATTCCACTGTCCAGTTATACCACATTTTACTCATTTATTTATTCATCTATTGATGGACATTTGGGTTGTTTCTACGTATTGGCTATTGTATGTGATGTTGCTATGAACATCTGTATACAAGAATCTGTTTGCATAACCATTTTCAATTCTTTTGGGTATATGCCCAAGAGGGGAATTGCTGGGCCATATGGTTTAACTTTTTGAGGATCTTCGAAATTGTTTTCCACATTGACTGTATCATTTTACTAGTAATATAACATGATTCCAATTTTTCCACATCTTTACCAACGCTTTTCTGTTTTACTATAGCTATTCAAGTGGCATGAAATGGTGTCTCATTGTGGTTTTGACTTTCCCTTTCACTAATGATTCATTTCACTGAACAACTTCTCATGTGCTTGTTGGTCATTTGCATATCTTCTATGGAGAAATGTTTATTAAAGCCATTTGACCATGTAAAAATTAGGTTATTTGTATTTTGGTTGTCAGTTGTAGGTGCTCTTCATATATTCTGGATACCAGATATGTGATTTGCAAATAACTCTTCCCATTTGGTAAACTGTGTTTTTACTTTTGTGATTGTATACTTCAATGTACTGAAGTTTTAAATTTTGATGAAAGTATATCTGTTTTGTCTTTTTCTCTTTTGCTTTTAGTGTTATATATAAATATCCACTGCCAAATTCAAGGTCATGAAGATTTATCCCAATGTTTTCATCTAAGAGTTTTATAATTTTAGCTCTTACATTCAGGTCTTTGATTCATTTTGAATTTATTTATATGGCAGGAGGTAAAGATCCAATTTTATTCTCTTTTTGTGGATATCCAGTTGTCCTAGGGTCCTCCCCCATTTTTGGTGACTATTTTTTTCTCATTGAATGTTTTTGGCACCCTTGTAGAAAATAAACTGACCACAGATGTGTATGGTCTAATTTTTGAACTCTCAGTTCTATCCCATGTATCTGTATGTCTATCCTTACATCAAAACTGCAATTTTGATTTCTCTAGGTTCATGGTAATGTAATGTAGGTTTTAATGTCAGGAATTGTAAGTCCTAGAACTTTGTTCTTTTTCAAGATTGATATTTGCTTTTTGGGGCCCTTACAAATTCAGTTTGAATTTTAGGACTGCCTATGCCATTTGTGCAAAAAGAATCTGTAGGATTTTGAAAGAGTTGGCACTGAATCTTTACATGACTTTGGGAACTGCTAACATCTTAATAGTCTTTTAATCCACAAACACGAGATTTGTTGACATTTAGTTAGGCTTTTAAAAATTTCTTCCAGCAATGCTCCTTACTTTGTGATACCTTTCATTTCCTTGGTTAAATGTACTCCTACTTTATCTTTTCTATGCTTAATTTCCCTTTTTATTTCATTGTCCGTGTACAGAAACACAACCGATTTTCAGTGTTGATACTGTATTCTATAACTTTAAATTTATTACCTCTAATTTTTTTAGGATTCTTTAGGTATTCTTTTTTTTCCTTTTTTTTTTTTGAGTTGGAGTCTCACTCTGTCACCCAGACTGGAGTGCAGTGGCTGCTCCCGGCCACTGCAGCCTTGACCTGCTGGGCTCCGGCGATCCTTCCGCCTCAGCCTTCCAAGTAGCTGGAACTACAGACGCATGCTACCACACCCAGTTAATTTGTTTTTGATTTATTGTAGAGATGAGGTCTCACCAAGTTGCCCAGGTGGGTCTCGAACCCACGGGCTCAGGCAATCCACTCACCTTGGCCTCCCAAAGCGCTGGAATTACAAGCTGAGCCACCGAGCCTGGCCTCTTTAGGTATTTCTAAATAGACTGTCCTATATCAAGATAGTTTTACTGGTTTTCAAATATCTTACGGCCTTTTTGATCTGATTTCTGTCACTAGAACTTCCAGTATAATGTCAAAATGTAGTGGCAAAAGGGATGTCATCATCTTGTTCCTGATATTAGGGGAGTTTTCAGTCCTTCATCACTGAGTACGATGTTAGTTGTGGGTTTTTATATATGTGCTTTTTTGTATTGGGGAAATTCCCTTTTTATACTGAGAATTTTTTTTTTTAATCATGAAAGAGTGTTGAAATTTATTCAATGTTTTTTTTCTGCATTGAGATGATCATGTTTTTACTTTTTCATTTTACATATGTTGTATTTTTCAGTTATTGTCTTACGTTGAACTACTTTGCATTTCCTAGAATAAATCCCACTTGGTAATGGAGTCTAATTTTAATAGTATGATGTAGATTTTGGTTTTCTAGTAACTTTTTGAGGATTTTTGCATCTATATTTATAAAGTATATTACTGTTTTATTTGTGATTTTTTGGCTTTATCATGTGTTTATTTCTTTCCTCCTAGAATAAGTTAAGGAGTACTTCCTACTCTTCTATTTTTAAGAACAGACTCTTCTATTTTTAAGAACAGTTGGAGAACTGGCTAATTCTTTAAATGTTTTGTTGAATTCAACACTGAAGCCAACTGGTCCTAAGCTCATTTGCCCCCCGTCCCCGCCCCTTGGGCTTATTTGGTTGGTTTTTTGATAACCAACTCAATTTCTTTACATGTTATAAGTTGGTTCCAATTTTCTACTGATTCTTGAGGCAGTTTTATTTTATTTTATTTTATTTTATTTTTTTTTGAGTTGGAGTCTCACTCTGTCGCCCAGACTGGAGTGCAGTGGCACACTCCTGGCCACTGTAGCCTCGACCTGCTGGGCTCCGGCGCTCCTTCGGTCTCAGCCTTCCAAGTAGCTGGAACTACAGGTGCGCGTTACCACTCCCGGCTAAGTTTTGATTTATTGTAGAGATGAGGTCTCGCCAAGTTATCCAGGTGGGTCTTGAACCCGTGGGCTCAGGCAATTCACTCACCCTCCCAAAGTGCGGGATTACAGGCTGAGCCTCCGAGGTAGTTTTCATATGTGTTTGTAGGAAATTGCTCATTGCATCTAGGTTATCCAATTTGTTGGTGTAGAATTATTCCTAATAATCCCTTAAAATAGTTTTTATTTCTATAAGGTTTTAGTAACATTCCAGCTTTTCATTTCTGATTATTTGAGTCTTCTCTCTTCTTTTATTAGTCTAGCTAAAGGATTAACTTAGTTGACCTTTCTAAGAACAAACTTTTTGTTCCACTGATTTTTCTATTTTTTAATTCTCTTTCATTTATTGGTACTTAATCTTTCTATCTTTCCCTCAGCTAACTTGGTTTAGTTTACCTTTTCCTAGTTCTTTAAGGCATAATGTTAGGTTATTGAGTTGATATCTTTCTTCTTTTTTTAAAACGTATCTGTTTACACTTAAAAATTCCTTCTTATCACTGCTTTTGCTACATCCCATATGTTTCGGATTGTTGCATATTCATTTTTATTTGCATCAAAAATTTTGTAACACTTTCTTGTATTTTCTTTGTTGATCTGCTAGTTATTTAAGACTGTGTCATTTAAAGGAGTGACATCAGCAAAATGACAGAATAGCAGGTCCTACTTGTTACCCTACAGAAAAACTGCTTTAGTGACCATCCATTGGCAAAAACACCTTTAAAGGAGCTTCAGATACTGGTGAGTGGTCACAACCCCTGGTGGAACAAGGAAAAAACAAACAAACAAAAAAACCCAAAAAACCCCACACACATTGA